GTGTGTGTGTGTGTGTGTGCGTGTGCATGTGCGTGTGTGTGTGTGTGTGTGTGTGTGTGTGTGTGTTTCAGGTGCATGTGCTGATGGAGAGGATGGTGGACTCTCTGTGTGATTTACTCGATGACACTCAACACACTCCTCAGACAACTTATTAATACTTCCATCTGTCTTCGGTTCTCTAGTTACATGTTGTCTAAACTAAAGTGTCAGATCCTAATTGCACATGTCAGTAAATGTAATTTTGCTCTCCAGAAGAACCTTTAATGTGTTTCTTGATGTGTTTGAGTGTGGGGTGAGTTTTAAACTAGTCCTTCCTCATTACATTTATCTCTGAAATGATTCAGTTTATGATTAATGAGCTGATCTTTGAGCTTGTCCAAAGGGCTGAAGGTTTAGCTGGTTATCATCACTATATCCTTTTTGGGTATATAACCATTTGCACAATTTCCCCAGTATTTTCCACTCCCATTAGCACTTTTTTGGAATTGCGCTCTCGCACTAATTTGTCCTGTTTAGCCAATCTGGCCCATAGTTTATATATTAAATATGCAATATGCAGAAAATAACATAATTAAAATAAAGAGATTTTCCGGCAGACCAAATCTTTATAAATAAATAAAATATTTGTTTTAACCCCAACCACTGGCTACACTGGATAATTTAATAAATAAATAAATAAAAAGGTACGGTAATTGTTTACATTGTTAGGTTATTTTAATGACAACCCAGCAGCTGGGTAAAATGCTGTTCCCATCAGCGACGGTTCAAAATGTAATGTTCAACAGACCGAAGCTGCAGCCTCATTAAGAAAAGTACACATTTCATTCACAACATTAGGTATTATCTATTTGAAGTTAAAATAGATCCCCAAAACTGATTTTTTTTTTTTTTTTTTTAAGTTTTAATTCCCTTTTGTCTGCTTTACTTTCTCCGGAGAATGAGTTAACTCGCTAACATCATTCAGTGACACAGTACCTTTGCACGGTCACAATATTTAGTCATGAATTTACGTTTTGTATTATCAATGTACTAGTTTGGCAGCAGTGTGTTAAAGGAACACCACTATTTCTGAAAATAGGCTCATTTTTCAACTCCCCTAGAGTTAAACAGTTGAGTTTTACTGTTTTCGAATCCATTCAGCCGATCTCCGGGTCTGGCGGCAGCACTATTAGCTGTAGCTTAGCATAGATAATTGAATCTGATTAGACCGATAGCATCTCGCTCAATGATATTACGCAGCGCCTGAAAATAGGCTAACTTCCGTCAACATAACCAACGTGAGCACCTGCTTGCACAGGGAGTGTGCTGGAGACTATTTTCAGGCGCTGTGTAATATCATTGCGGCTGCTGCACACTATTTACCGGTAAAGCACCATTCACACATCAGTGTGCTTGTGTGTGTGTGTGTGTGTGTGTGTGAAAGGAGCTTATGACTTTATTAGGACATGTTCTGTGACAAAATAGAACTCAAAAATGTAAAATAGTTCTATAGAATCGTTGAAACTTCAGGTTTTCTTATGGCATCATGGTTGCTTTAAAATATTCTGTGACATCACAGGAGAACTTTGAGAGTTGGAAAATGAGCCTATTTTCAAAAATAGTGGAGTGTTCCTTTAACTCCATCTCGGTCCAGTTAGATTGATGATATGAGTAGATAAACTGATATTTTGGATTTGTGGAGAGACTCCGGCAGTGATGCGGTTAAGTGCCGAGTGCGCAGAGCATCTCCCTCCTTGCGGAGCAGATGTCTTCGCTGAGATCACACTCATCAGAGACTCGTCCCGGGCTCACACGCGGCACCGCAGTCATGGTGGGTCTGTTGTTTTCTTCTCATGTCTACAGCAGATGAACCAGGCCTGCGGTTCTCAAAATCTTCATAATAAGTAGATCAGCACCAGTGCTCTCTATGATCAACTTGGGTAGCTCAGGTCAATTATGTTCCAAAAATTTTTAATTTTGGTTGTGAGAATGTTAAAATGGGAATGGGAATCTGAATTGTTAGTAGCAGGTCATTTAAAGCATTAATGTTCGACCGTTATGTAGAGAGCAGGATGACTGATGGTCATGCTGGTATTGTATAGTACAATTTAAAGGGACAGTTCACCCATAAAAAAAAAAAAAATATTATTATTATTATTTTCAGCACAAAAGAAGATATTTTGAAGATTAATGGTAACCAAACAATTGCTGATAGCCATAAAAAATATGGGGAAAAAATACTATGAAAGTTAATGGCTACCAATGACCGTTTGGTTACCATATATTTTGTGTTTAACAGAAGAAAGACATTCATGCAGGTTTAGAACAACTTGAGAACTATACCTCTTTAAGGATGTTTACCAAACATTTACTCATTTTAACATTTTTGAAATGTTCCCTGAAGGTTACGTACCTGAAGTTATTTAAATACATATTGAATTGGTGATCGATTCACACACATTTTGTTTTGTTTTAGATGCAGCGAACTAAAGGTGAGTTGTATTTCTTCACACCATCTTCATTGAGAGTGATCTCCTTTTGTTGTGTTGGTCTAGTTTTGAAAAAGTGATAATGAAAGTGCTGATGTTAGCGGCTCCTGGTTCGAAGCCAGCAGGTTTTGGGGCCGACGCAGAACGGATCTGGACTGGGCTCATTGTGTTTTGCCCAAGTTTTGGAGCAGATGAACCCTGAGGTACGGCGTGGGTTTTTCACAGAGTGCAGTGTAGGATTAGGTTCTGCCTCACACACAGAAATACAAAGTCGAAGAGCGCAGCCGTGTGAAGGGCAGAGATGTTCAGGCAGATCAGCTGATGCTACACTGTCAAAATGATTGTAATGTTAACAGTAATAGACTGGGAATATGCTACGGCATACATCTGTTAACTGGTTAACAGGAAGTTCTCTTACTATATATGATGAAAAACTAATAGTTTTGTCAATTTCACTGTAAAATACTATTATATTTTGTTTTTGGAAGTAAAATAGTATAAACCACCCTCTATATATTAGCAAGTAATGTGAGTTATCTAATCAGATTACTTTTTTCAAGGTACTAGTAAAGAAACGCATTACCGCTAAATTTACAACTAAATATCTTGAGTTATTTTTTTTCAAATAGGTAATGCAAGTCACTTTGTTTTTCCATTTATTCACAACCTGGAGATAGGAGAAAAATGATCACCGTTTATTTCAAGCTATTAATTAGTGAAACGTGAATTAGTGATTTTTTTTAGGTTTATTTAAACGAAAGTGATTTTTGGTTTATGTATAGTCTAATTAGTGATTTCTATCCTCATTTTTAACAAGCGTTATTTTGAGTTATTTATAGTCCAGTTAGTGATTTCTAGTCTAAAAAGTGTTCTTTTTTTGTGATTTCTAGTCTAATTAGTGATTCCTAGCTTAATTGAAAAAGTTTATTTTTAGTTTTAGTTTGTCTAGTCTAATTAGTGATTTCTAGCTTAATGTTTTAAAAAATATATTATTTATTTTATTTCTACTCTAATGAAGGATTTTATGTGATTTCTAGGCTAATTATTTTTATTTAATTTTTTAGTCTTATTAATGATTTCAAGTGATTTTAGTCTATTTTTTTATGTAATTAAAAACTCTACTTTGTCATTATAAAGTCTAACTTGTGATTTCTAGCCTAATTTAAAAACGTGTTAATTGTATTATATTTTTAGTTTATTTCTAGTAAAATTAGTGATTGCAGTGTGATTTTCTAACATAATTTAAAAAGTGTGTGATTTCTAGTTTACTTCTAGTCGAATTACAGATTTCAAGTTATTTCTAGACTAATTTAAAAATGTGTTAATTTTATTATATATTTTTAGTATTTTTTTTTGTCTAATTAGTCACTTCTAGCCTTTTTTAGTGTATTTTAGTGATTACAAATTGATTTTTAGCCTAATTTTTTTTTTTAAAAGTGTGATTTCTAGACCTTGGAAAAAGTCGTGGAAATGGATAAAATCTTAATGTTTATTTATTTATTTTGTAAATAATATGCATTCTTTTTTTAGCTTAGTAAAATATTTTATCCAGTAGAAATTGTGAGAATTTTTTTTTTAAATTTCATTCTTAACTTTAATCCAGTAAACCAAATGAATGGAAAAGTCATGTAAATGAATTATTTAGTTATTGGAACCCTCAAAAATATATTCAGCTCTTAAAACTGGAATCCTGAAATGTGATTATTTTAATATTTTACTCATTCTAATGTGTGGAAACTCCTGGTTTCTGTAAATTACAGCAGATGAACCAGAGGAAATCTTCTTTTTTTTCTGGACAGCAGAGTCCAAAAGGTTGAGAAAGGAGTGCAGAGATCTGGTTTGTGTGTGTGCTCAGGCGCTGACGCTGCTGGACTATCTGGCTAAGACGGGCTCGGAGCGCGTGGCCCAGCAGTGCCGCGAGAACGCCTTCGCCATCCAGACGCTGCGGGACTTCCAGTACGTGGACCGGGACGGGCGCGACCAGGGCGTGAACGTGCGCGAGAAAGCCAAGCAGCTGGTGGCTCTGCTGCGGGACGAGGAGCGTCTGAGGCAGGAGCGGGCGCAGGCGCTCAAGACCAAAGAGAGGATGGCGAGCGGCGTTCCTCCGGCGTACCCCAGCAGACGCAGCAGTCAGCCCAGCATGAACGCTCTGTACGGAGAAGAGTTCAGCCGCTCCAGAGGATCGCCGTCATCCTTCAACTGTGAGACGCACGCTCTTTAACTCCTGCTGTTAGCTCAGTGTCAGCTTCCATTAGTTTAAACAACAGCATATACTGTATAATATAACAAGATAAACCAACAGAAGAATGATGAATGATACAGAACAATCGGGTACAAAAACTATTTTAAAAATGTCATTTAATTGACAATATATTTTAGTGATGATGCTGAATGCATGCACTTGAATTTGAAACCAAACTCATCATATTTGTTGTAAAAACATTTTTATACTTGACTTTAAACTGACTTTGATGCTGCAGTTAGCTAAAACTATATTACTCGTACTTTATTTTTAATTTAAATGACATTTAAGCTATTTATGGGGAATGTCTCTTCAAATATAGATCTATAAATTGACATGTTCTAACTTCTTTGTTTAACACGTACTAACAGATTTTTCCTCCTCCTCTGATGATATGTCCCTGTTCCTCAGCTGTATTTCTCCTGCAGTGTTTTCTGTGGATCTCCTGTGAATGTCACGGCGCTCATTAACCTCCTGCTCCTTTAATCCTAATGAATGCTTCCACTAACGAACAGCAGCGACTTGAGCTTGTTTTGTCTCCTGAAGGAGCGGCGCGGCCATCAGGGGGACGACGCTCATCTGCAGAAGGTTCTGGAGGAGAGAAAGGGCGAGCGAGACCCGCGGCCTTCAGAGGTGAGAGAGACACTCAACATCTGCACGATCTGCTGAGCTTCTGACCGACTGACGATGGCTTTCATCCCACAGTCGGCCATGATCGATCTGGTGGATATATTCGGTCCCGCGGACCCCTGGGACGCCCCGCCCACCTGCCCCGTGAACTCTGACCCCTGGGAGTCTGTCGGTCAGTGATGAGCGCGTTCAGTTCTGTGATTCACAGTCGTTCGTTTTTAATAACAGTCGGCGATTTCCTCATCAGGGCGCCGCAGATCTCTTGTGGTCACAGTGTTTCATTCAGCTGGAAAAAAATTTCATTTCAACGTTGACTTTGAACGTTGAAAAGTTCGTTAACCTTTTAAAATCAGCTGTATTTCTCCTGCAGTGTTTTCTGTGGATCTCCTGTGAATGTCACGGCGCTCATTAACCTCCTGCTCCTTTAATCCTAATGAATGCTTCCACTAACGAACAGCAGCGACTTGAGCTTGTTTTGTCTCCTGAAGGAGCGGCGCGGCCATCAGGGGGACGACGCTCATCTGCAGAAGGTTCTGGAGGAGAGAAAGGGCGAGCGAGACCCGCGGCCTTCAGAGGTGAGAGAGACACTCAACATCTGCACGATCTGCTGAGCTTCTGACCGACTGACGATGGCTTTCATCCCACAGTCGGCCATGATCGATCTGGTGGATATATTCGGTCCCGCGGACCCCTGGGACGCCCCGCCCACCTGCCCCGTGAACTCTGACCCCTGGGAGTCTGTCGGTCAGTGATGAGCACGTTCAGTTCTGTGATTCACAGTCGTTCGTTTTTAATAACAGTCGGCGATTTCCTCATCAGGGCGCCGCAGATCTCTTGTGGTCACATTGTTTCATTCAGCTGGAAAAAATTTTCATTTCAACGTTGACTTTGAACGTTGAAAAGTTCGTTAACCTTTTAAAACCATTTTGCATTAGACGTTGTTTTATCAACATTGAAACTGACGTTAACTGACATTATTTCAACCACATTTCAAGGTAGACCGTACAAATATCCAAAAGTAAATTAAGCTTTGAGTAGGTTTGGGTATCGAGGACTGGTTCCATTTTAGAACCGGTTCCAAATTTCCAAGAACCGGGTATTCGATAAGACATTTCGATTCCGCTTAACGATTCCTGCGTTCGCATTCTAATGTGATTTTAAACCATTTAAGCGCAAAAGGGAAAGACCTTGTGCACTGTTTTGTGTGTCGCGCACAATGACAGAAAAAATATGCATGACATCTAAATGGTTGACTTTTTTTAACACCTGATTGGAATCTAAACTAAGAATCGATAAACGGAATCGGAATCTATGCAATTCAAACGATATTCACATGATTTGAGGGTTTGTAACTCAACAAGGACTTTTTTGTGCGGCTGTATTTAGATCTGGTCGTGTCTGTTTCAGCTGTAGTTAAGTCTAGTAACCCGGGGGCTGATAGTCCCTGGACCGCCCGCCCTTCCTCCACTAGCCCCGCCCACCCATGGGGAATCCACCAATCACCTCCTGAACCCTGGGATGCCCCGCCTTCAAACTCCATCTCTAATATGGATGATGAAGCCTGGAGGAGCCCAGCACGACCAGGTACAACACCTCATGTTAAAAACCAAAGTGAAATACATTTTTGACCAAGTTTTGTGTGTTAGTGTGTGTGTGTGTGTGAGCACAGAGGAGGAAACGCGAGGAGAAAGATGAGCAGGAGGAGTTTTCCTGTTGACCTTTCCTGCTGTTTCAGGAATATTTGCGTTCTCACAGGACGTGGAGGAAGTGCAGAAACCACGATCGCTGCTGAAAATAACCGTGATTAACCCAAATCCACCGCAGCGTTCGGCTCGATGTGAGTGCTGACACGCCCCTCCACAACAGCCAATCACTGCCTGCCGTTCGGTGTGTCCTTCAGCTGTTGTCACGGAGACGCAGCAGGGCATCCGCTGTCTCTGTGCAGGTATCTGAGGAACCGCGGCGTGTTTCAGGGTCCTCAAGATGAGTCTGAAAAATATCTAAAATAATTAAACCATGCATTGAAAAAAAAATGTAAACTGAAATTTAATCCATTTATAATGTGACAATGTATATTGTAATACAAAACAATAAATGATTACAAATAATTAACAAATTTCCCCTCATTAACTGTTGTTTCTAATTGAATGACAAAGAATTCTTAAAACCAAGGGGAAATTCTTTTTTTTATTTAATAATTTATTAATAATATATTAAAACAGTCAAATTCTAAATTAAAATGCAAAAACCGCAATCAAGATTTTTCAAGACAGAAATGTATTTAATATGCTATATATTATTTAATAATTCTATTTACGACTGTAATAATATTATTGTTCTTTAATTAATTAATAATTATTTTTCCTCCTCAATAGCTGTTTGTTTAATTATTGTTAATCTATTAAAATCGTCAAACACTTTCCCCCCACAGTAACTGCTGTTAATTGAAAAACACAGTTCTTGAAACTCAGTAAGTCACAAAATGAATCACGGTTGCTATAATATTACATAATATATCAATACTCCCAGGTTCTATTAATAAAAAGGTTTAGTATGTTGGGCAAAAAGCTTGAGAACCACTGGATTAAACCATTAACAAGGCCTTTAGAATTTCTTTATTTTTGTTTTCTGTATTTTCCACATGTTCTAACTTCTTTGTTTAACACGTACTAACAGATTTTTCCTCCTCTGATGATATGTCCCTGTTCCTCAGCTGTATTTCTCCTGCAGTGTTTTCTGTGGATCTCCTGTGAATGTCACGGCGCTCATTAACCTCCTGCTCCTTTAATCCTAATGAATGCTTCCACTAACGAACAGCAGCGACTTGAGCTTGTTTTGTCTCCTGAAGGAGCGGCGCGGCCATCAGGGGGACGACGCTCATCTGCAGAAGGTTCTGGAGGAGAGAAAGGGCGAGCGAGACCCGCGGCCTTCAGAGGTGAGAGAGACACTCAACATCTGCACGATCTGCTGAGCTTCTGACCGACTGACGATGGCTTTCATCCCACAGTCGGCCATGATCGATCTGGTGGATATATTCGGTCCCGCGGACCCCTGGGACGCCCCGCCCACCTGCCCCGTGAACTCTGACCCCTGGGAGTCTGTCGGTCAGTGATGAGCACGTTCAGTTCTGTGATTCACAGTCGTTCGTTTTTAATAACAGTCGGCGATTTCCTCATCAGGGCGCCGCAGATCTCTTGTGGTCACATTGTTTCATTCAGCTGGAAAAAATTTTCATTTCAACGTTGACTTTGAACGTTGAAAAGTTCGTTAACCTTTTAAAACCATTTTGCATTAGACGTTGTTTTATCAACATTGAAACTGACGTTAACTGACATTATTTCAACCACATTTCAAGGTAGACCGTACAAATATCCAAAAGTAAATTAAGCTTTGAGTAGGTTTGGGTATCGAGGACTGGTTCCATTTTAGAACCGGTTCCAAATTTCCAAGCACCGGGTATTCGATAAGACATTTCGATTCCGCTTAACGATTCCTGCGTTCACATTCTAATGTGATTTTAAACCATTTAAGCGCAAAAGGGAAAGACCTTGTGCACTGTTTTGTGTGTCGCGCACAATGACAGAAAAAATATGCATGACATCTAAATGGTTGACTTTTTTTAACACCTGATTGGAATCTAAACTAAGAATCGATAAACGGAATCGGAATCTATGCAATTCAAACGATATTCACATGATTTGAGGGTTTGTAACTCAACAAGGACTTTTTTGTGCGGCTGTATTTAGATCTGGTCATGTCTGTTTCAGCTGTAGTTAAGTCTAGTAACCCGGGGGCTGATAGTCCCTGGACCGCCCGCCCTTCCTCCACTAGCCCCGCCCACCCATGGGGAATCCACCAATCACCTCCTGAACCCTGGGATGCCCCGCCTTCAAACTCCATCTCTAATATGGATGATGAAGCCTGGAGGAGCCCAGCACGACCAGGTACAACACCTCATGTTAAAAACCAAAGTGAAATACATTTTTGACCAAGTTTTCGTAGCGCCAACCCTTTTAATTGAAATAATGCATTCGTTTAGAGTTTGCATAAAGTGCAAAAAAAGGCTTTTCCTGCCTCAGAAGCGTAATCTATGAAAACGTATTTCTGCCACAGAATAAACATATTAAAAAGGCAACTTTGTATCATGTAATAGCCGGTTTATATCTTGCAACTATTATTTGTGAGATGTAAACTCGCAACTGCATGAAAAAAAGATCGTGAGATAGAACTTGGAGTTTTTATGCTTGTATTCACTTTAAATATGTAAATGATGGTGACTCATGAGATCCATCTCTGTATTCTTTGCTCTTCCTTCCAGTGTCGAGTGTGAAGGACCCGTTTAGTATTCCAGAGGAGGAGGGGCTTAGAGTAGAAGGGGAGGAGCCTATAGTGGAGCAGGCGGGCCCAAACCAAGTGTTCAGTCCTCGCTGTGAGAGTCCTGCAGGTCCTCATCACACCAAACCAGACCCTCTTCTCATTCGTTTTCCTCTCGGAGTCGAGCTGCAGCTTATTCTCATCTATCATTTCAGATGCCGATCAGTTCGGTGAGTTGGTGGCTGGTGTTCAAGTGAACGGACGGGGAAATGACAGTCCAGAGACCTTTGACCTCTCTCGCCTCGGGCCCCCTCTGGACGCGGTGACCCCCAGACAGTGCCGGACCCCCAAGGCATTCCTCGGCCCCACCGCTGCCTCCCTCGTCAACCTGGACACACTTATTCCCAGCAATGCGCCGGTCAAGAACAAAAACCCCTTCCTGTCAGGTAGGAAAACATTCACACTGTTTTTTGAGTGATTTTGAAGTTTTCTGAGTGCTTTTGAGTACATTATATAAAGCCAAATAATGTTATGCAATTACATTTACAATGCAAAATACTTTACATACTCCTTTTTTATTTATTCCTCACAATTTTGTTCAGAACTTTGGCATTTATTTTTGATCTTTCATTTAGAAAGTACAAAGAGCATTATTCAAGGGTCATCTTGATTTAATTTCTTTTTTTTATTATTAAAAGGCTTTTTGTGCATCTTATTTGTCCATCTTACAACATCATATTGTATTTGATTCATTTGTTTTCTTAACTTACAGTTAATAAAGTAATCTTTTCAGTAAATAGTAATAAAAAGTTGTTTTATAAAGTTGCTTTAACTGATAAAATCAGCGTAATAAAATGTTTCATCAGCGTAAAGAAAAATATTTCACTTTTGAAAATTAAAAAATGAAGCTGTTTCCTCGTTTTAAGCATAACTAACAAAATTATGTTATTTATTCTGTTATTTTTATAATTATATTTATTATTTTTCATTTATTTAGATGTATGTTTAAAAGTGGGAAAGAAGAAATTAACTTTATTATTAAGATATTCTCTGAAAAGTCATAGTATTTCATGCAATTTTCCTTCTCATGATGTTTGGGTTTCAGTAAGATTTCTTTGAGAGAAATTAATACTTTTATTGATCGAGGCTGCATTAAATTGATCAAAAGATTTCTTCTTTAAATAAATGCTGTTCTTTTGAATTTCTATTCATCAAAGAATCCTGGAAAATAAAATGTCTCACGGTTTCCACAAAAATATTCAGCAACTGTTTTCAACATTGATAATAATCAGAAATGTTTCTTGAGCAGCAAATCAGCATATTAGAATGATTTCTGAAGATCATGTGACACTGAAGACTGAAGTAATGATGCTGAAAATACAGCTTTGATCACAGCAATAAATTACACTTTAAAATATATGCACATAGAAAACATTGAATTTTAATTGTAATAATATTTCACAATTTTACTGATTGTACTGTATTTTTGATCAAATTAATGCTGCCTTGGTGAGCAGAAGAGACTATAATGATATTTTGCGTTGGGTGTCTTGTGCAGGTTTGAGCACACCGTCTCCCACAAACCCCTTTCACTGTGAGCAGCCCAGACTGACTCTGAATCAGATGCGTCCTCACTCCACATCGCCGCTGCCGGCTCACGCTCTGTCCTACAGCGCCTCCCTCCCGCTGCCCGTCCTGCAGCAGAGGCCCCAGACTCTGCCCTCTTCCTACACGCAGCCGCACCACGGCCTGCTGGACATACCCAGCAACCTGCCGCAGCCGCTGCTGCCCCTCACAGCCTCCACCCAACAAACACAACACCCCGGCCAAAGCCAAAACCCCTTCCTCTGAGGAACCACATTTACACGTGGGAAACGGATACTAGAACTGGATTACATTGATTTAGTTTCAGTGTGAACAGACTGAAGAGCAGATCTAAAGCCTAAATAATGGGGAACGGAGACTGAAACCGGATTACAGTAATTTGGTTTCAGTGTGAATGGACTGAAGAGCAGATCTAAAGCCTAAAGAATGGGAAACAGACTTGAACTGGATTACAGTGATTTGGTTTCAGTGTGAACGGACTGAAGAGCTGATCTAAAGCCTAAATAATGTGAAACGGAGACTGGAACTGGATTACAGTGATTCAGTTTCAGTGTGAACGGACTGAAGAGCTGATCTAAAGCCTAAATAATGTGAAACGGAGACTGGAACTGGATTACAGTGATTCAGTTTCAGTGTGAACGGACTGAAGAGCTGATCTAAAGCCTAAAGAATGGGAAACGGAGACTGGAACGGGATTACAGTGATTCAGTTTCAGTGTGAACAGACTGAAGTGCTGATCTGAAGTCTAAAGAACTACTTACTGTTGGTTTTTAGCAAAAGTACTTTTCCAATAAGACGATACACATTTAATGCTGGCTGGCTTTATTAACTTACATGCGTTCGTCTGCATTCTGCGTGATAATCGCTCAGCCTGGATTATCACATTTATTTCGAGTTTAAAGTCAACATGAAATCAAAATGGACTCATTTTACTTTCCTAACACACAATCCTGATCCTATTGTGCACTTATAGGGTTCCCACTCTTTTTCAGTGATCATTTTCCAGGACTTGGAGGACTTTTCCAGGACATTTTTAATGTAATTAGAAATGGGAATTAACTACAAGAAACACACCCTAAAGTAACATATTCCTCTCTCCAAAGGTCTTTAAAAACATACAGTTTATGGTCATGACATAACTATAAAATCAGCTCTTTAATATGAGCTCTTAATTATACATTGCAACAAATGATTGTCATTACCATAGAAAAAAAATATATATATTGAAAGTATTTAACTATTTTATTTAACTATTTCAAAATAAAAATAAATGAATCATTAATCAGTATTGCTTTAAAAGGGTCAAGTGAAAAATGTGTCGATTCTGACTAACTTAAACACCTCCGACTGGCCATTGCATATCACTGTTCACGGAAAGCAATATAAATATGCACAGAAGCGTTTGAAAACAGCCACCTATCAGCGAGTACTGAACTAAGTCTGTACTTGGTACCACTGCTGCAGAAAGGCCGGTATTCTTACGTTTTTTAAATCCCAGTATCGACATGGTACAAAAGTACTAATAGCCTACTTTTGACAATAATCAAAATGTATTAGTCAACAAGTTACTGAATGACTGTTAGCAAAGCTGCTTTCCACTTTTACTACAAACATTCATCACAACACTTAACAGCATCATTCAACATACTTCTCTTAAAGTTCACCACTGGATAGAAAGATGGGAATCACAACAGTGTTCACACTGTCCAAAGTCAGTAGTGATGCACCAATCTGGATTTTTCATGGTCAATTTCAAACAGGCCGATTCCGATACTGATTTGTTAATGTTTATTTCATATTTTAAAGCAAGAGATAAGATAGAATGAAAATATGACTACATGAAGTTCTTTGCTCTATTACAGGCCAAACTCTGTAGCCTCTTGGTTACCGCAGCGCTTATAAACACTACTTCAGTATGCATTATACAGAGGCAACATCTAAACTTTTCTGAAGACAGTAAGTTCCCAATTCAATATTTAGATTTTCGTCCAATACTTTTGCTCATGGTGAACAAGTGAGCTGCTCTGTCTGCTACAGTATTTTCCCCTCTTTGTGTTCATCTTCAGCATCTCTGGCCTTTGTTAACATCCCGTTTACAGACTTCGTCATCAATGCATGTTACTATTGGTGATAATCAAAATACCATAGCATGCTCTGAACATAAAAAGACATTTCAATTGGGTCACATAATCAGGGGTTTTCAATCTTTTAGAAGCCACGGACCCACAAAAATATGATGATCATGCGAGAGAACCCCATTATAAAATATAAAATACATATATATATTTTCATGTTTAAAGACCCAGTTTATACTGTGAAAAATTAATATTATAAATGTGTAAAATATTATTTGGAAATGTTTTAGTTATGTTTTTTTTTTCTAGTTACTATAGTACTTTAGTTAAATATTCTTGGTTTATTTATGTATTTATCTATTTATTCAAAATCATTTTTAACATATATTTGAATAAAATGTATCATTTATTTTTACAGTATTTACACTGTTTTCTGTAAACATTAGCAATCTTTTCCAAAACTCTCTTACGGGCCCCTGGGAGAAAAATAATATAATAAATAAATAATAACCATATAGTAATCTGGGCATTTTTAAGGCTACTCATGTACGCAGTTTTTTACACAAATTGTAAATGTAGTAACTTAATGCTGGTTAATAAAGTGCAAATGACAGCAATAATAGCCGTTCTGGTATGCAATGTCCACTTCTCACCATATACTCAACTCCCGATGGATAAAATCCCAGCTGAATATCCAAAATTACGTCACATTATGGGTTGTGATCGTCTTTTCATGTTGACTTTGACGTTGGCTAGAAGCTTCGCTCTTCTGCTGCACAGGAACAGCATGCTGCTAATGAACTTAGGGAAGGGTTAAATGTCAAAATTTCAGTCAAAAACACCCTACGCTGGATAAACGGAGGGACATTTCAGGAACACAACATAACTAATGAATCTCCACCAGGAACAAACTCACCGTCCTCCCCTCGTTCCTCAAACATCTCCCTCCTCGTTTCCTTTCTGTTGCCTTCAATCGATGGATCTCGCGCGATGAGATCCGGCACTGATTGTAACCGAGCTCCTCCACGTGCCTGTCTCACCGGCAGTCCCAGAATGCACTGGGGCTGGCGCCTCACTTCCTGTTAGGATCTCAGGAGCACCACCCACAGGAAGCCATATAGCCAATTAAAACTCACTGACACCGTCTGTCTGAGAGGATTGCTACAGACTCGATGTACATCAATGCTGAATTATCTGATGCTGTAATTTCCTCCACTCAGAAAAGTGATTGAAGAACAATGCTCATGAGTATGCCATCCAGTTTGATCTAGTAAAGGAGAACCAGGTTAATCATTTAATCCACTATGAGTTAAATGGTGTGTATTAAAGACACTAATAAATGAATGTTATTCACTTTTAATGCTGATTTTTCTTTCTCTCAGCTCATTACGTGTCCAGCAGACGTCACTCTTTCTTAATCAGCTGTCCAGTGTTTGGATTATGAATATAGAGCAACTTTATAGTGACGTACAATGCTGAGATCTTGAGAGATGTAATGTCTTTTATTTGAGTTGATTTCATCTAAGGCTGTGGCTGAAGTCAGTTGTAGTTGGTTCTTATTACTCTTTCTTTCAGTGCTTGTTCACAGCCGCTGGTTGAATGTTTGAAAGAATGTTTCAGGAACATCAAACTAGCCTTTAAATAACATTCTATTAACGTTAAGGAAACGGGACATTTTCATGTTCTTGGAATGTTACAGATCAACGTTCCTAGAATGTTGAATTTTAAATCAAAAATAAGTTGAAAGAATGTTTGGGGAACATCAGACCTTTAGAACATGTTCCTCTGATGTCAAGAAAACTGGGCGTTTTTTACGTTCCCAGAACCAACACTGAATATTTGGAGAATGTTCTTATAGAAAGTCTCCTGTGAGGGGTAGGTTTAGGGGTAGGGTTGGTGTAGGACAATAGAAAATATGGTTTGTACAATATAAAAACCATTACGCCTATGGAGAGTCCCCATAAACCATAAAAACAAACCTGTATGTGTGTGTGTGTGTGTGTGTGTGTGTGTGTGTGTGTGAGAGAGAGAGAGAGAGAGAGGTTTAACGGTTTAGCTGAAGTCGCATGTCTGAACCTGCAGCTTTTTGCTGTATAGCTGCAGTTTTTTAGCGGTTTATCAGATTTCAGATGCACCTGCTTCACCTGATGTGCGTCGCTGGCATAAACAGACACACATTCGTGTGCAGATATTGCTGAAGTTAAGGCCTGTGTTTAAATGATCTCCGAGCAGGTTTGTATGACTAAGATCTTAAGTGTTTATGTATTCAAAAGAGTCATTTCAGACCAGTTTCACCATTTTGTTTATTTTACAGGTAAGTATGAAAACCTCATACCAATGTGAGAAAAATAATGTTAACAGTGTTTAAAAAATATTAAAAAAAATGATTCTGTGCTTCTCGTGAAAGTTAAGCTGATCTTCCCTGAAACATTTCAACTTAATTGGTTATAAAATAGTCTCTCATTTACTGACTTTATTTCAGATTTCTGACTTTAACGGTGACTTCTCTTCCTCAGGTTGTGTTTGCTGCGGCTGCTCGTCAGTTTTCTCTTCATGTTGTGTTTTCCGTGTCTTTTTGTCTGTGTTTGCTTCTGCAGCATCAGTGGAAGGGGCAGAGCCTTCCACACATATACCTGGTTTCACATCAGCAGTTGTTTTCGAGTCAGTGGAAGCTGTTTCTGTGATGTCCGTGTGTTCGCTTGCATCAGATGCTGGACTTCGAACTGAAGTCAGAAGGTTTGTTTCTTGCTCATGACAGACATGGTCGGAAGCGCCAGACTGAGCCAGCTGACAGAGAGCGAACGCGGCTGTTCTCTCTACAGGTAAGTGATGGTTTTCTTGTGATGTTACGGTACCCACAATCCCCTCATTCATCAGGCCGCTGTCTGATCGAGTCGTCGTAGACAGATTCAGAGGACTGTCTCTCCTGGAGAGGTTCAGAGGAACCAAAGTATCCTCATCAAATCGGTCATTTTTACTTTCCATCTCTCTGGATGCAGATGATGCCCTGGGCACAGAAACAAGAAATAAGTAAATCTATTTCCTTTTTCACTGTTTTGCTTTCTAAACTATTTTATTTTTATCTATTAATTAAAAAATAGCTTTAATTATAATTACATAAATTATAAGAAATTTAAAAGGAATAATTTTATAATTAATTATTCTCAAATTGTATTATTATTTAGTAAAATTATCAATATTTGTAATATTATAATTATGTATTATAACATACATAATATACTATCTATAATTATTTATTATATTTAATAATTTGTAGAAGATCTGACCTAAGGGTGATTATTTTTTTTATGTAATTTTAATATAATACTTTGTAAGATTATCAATAGCAATTTATAAAAATGTAATTTTAAATGATAAAAAGTATAATACATTGTAAAATTAATACTTTAATATTCTAATCTGACCTTAGAGAGATTATTTCATATTTTAAATGTAATTTTAAGTTAATTTTGTAAAATAATTCATATTTGTAAACATTTTATTATGTATTATAAATAAATTGTGAAATTAT